TTTTGAGACAGGGTCTCACTAGGTAGTTCAGACTGACCTGGAACTCACTATGTAGCCCAGGCTAGGCTCCAACTCATAGCAATCCTCCTGCCTCAGCCTCCCGAGGGCTGTGATTACAGGCATGGGCCACCATGCCCGGTCCTGGATCTAGTTCTTAATAAAAGCTTTAGGCCTATTGACATATAAATCCCAAATTCTCAGACAACTCCAAAGCTAAATCAAAATGATTCATATTGATCCCTAAATTTCTATTATGAGGTCTGCTTACCCAGGGGTAATCTAGAACTGGCAGTAACAGCTACCTTCCAAAATCACAGGCATGAAGAGAGAAGGCATGGTAGGGCAGACTCCCAGGGAGTGTTCAGGTCTGTTCTGCTTGTCTTTCTTGATCCTGAAGTCAGGAATGAAAGTATTAATTTAAAAATACTGAGCTTACTACAATTCCTTAGATCCTCGAAGATTTTTTTTAAGTTGCAGCATGCACCCTGCTCTGAGGGAACTGACAGTACCATAAGGGTGAAAGGTGAGTTCACACACACACACACACACACACACACACAGTGGACGCCTGCAGGTGACACTGTATGAACACTAAGCAAAGCTTCCTATTGGCACTCACGCCAGTCATCCCAGCTATTTGGGAGGCTGAGGCAGGAGGGTGGTAAGTTTGAGACCAATATGGGCAATGAGTAAGACACTGTCTCAAAAGGTGTGGGGGATACACCCAGTGGTAGAGAGTCCCTGGGTTCAATCTCTAGTACCCTCACAAAAAGAAAACAACAAGCTGGGTGTGGTGGTACACACTTGTAATCACAGCATTCTGGGAGGCTGAGGCAAGAGGATGAATTCAAGTCCAGCCTGGGCAACTTAAGAGACTTAGCAAGTCCCTGTCTCAAAATAGAAAATGTTTATTGTGGGGAGGTAGCTCAGTGCCAGTACCACAGGGGAGGGCCTCTCTAACTCATAAGGAGTTGGGAAATAGTTTCGTCAAAATTTACCAGAACTGGAGCTGGCTGGGCATGGTGGTGCACACCTGTAATCCCAACACTTGGGAGGCTGAGGCAAGAGGATCACTGCAACCTTAGGGGCAGCGTGGAGTACACAGTGAGTTCAAGGTCAACCTGAGCTACACAGTGAGACCCTGTCTCTAAAACAACAAACAAAAAATTACCAGAACCACTGTCACCTGGGCTGAATCTCGAGCACGCGCCAAGGCTAGGCAGGTGAAAAGGTGGGCAACGAGGCTCAGGCAGAAGAAATTCTTTGGGAAGAGCGAGGCCAAAGAGCATGCTCAGGGGACCTGCGCAGGGTGTCGGCCTGGAGTGGGCAGCACAGCAGGACAGACTGGGCTATGAGGATGATGTGAAGGAATCCAGACCCCATCCTCAGGACACTGAGGAGCCAGAGAGGCTCACACACTGGCATGAGCAGGCCCCGCTCGGAGGTAGTGAGAATCCTGACTGAGAAGGTTCGAAGGGAGGCAAGGCTTAAGACATAGGAAGATGACTGCATTCACCCCTTCAGCAGCAGAGCCTGAGTTCAGGAAGCAACAGAAAGGACAGCGAGCAGACAGGCATGAGTGTTCAGGAAGCTGACAAGGCCCAGCAAAGTGTGACTGAGAGAAAGGCAGATTAAGGCCGACTGGGTGGGTGATGATCCAAGTCACTTGGAGAGCAGGCCCTGAAGAAAGGAGGTGTAGGCAGGCAGCTTCTGTTTGCATGCGCTGGAGGTCAAAAGCCTGTGAAGGGCTACAGTGCAATGCACAACAATCTCATGGCTCTTGCCTGCACAGCAGGACTGCCTGTTCGGCTCCAGTCTGGAGGAAAGGCCACAATTCTGCACCAGTGCCCAGAGCAAGGCCCAAATCCTTCTCGTTTCTGTACACGAGCTGAGTGTTTAGCACCCAGAGGCTTGACATGTGTTGGTTTAATACCCCCATCAAATTTACAGAAATACTCCCCTTGGGGAATGAAAAAGGTGCTTCTGGAGATGGAAGACCAGAAAAACAGCTACGAGCAGAAGGCCAAGGAGTCACTGCAGAAAGTGCTGGAGGAGAAAATGGGCACAGAGCAGCAGCTACAGAGCACACAGGTGGGACAGCTGGGCAGTGCTGGGGCCCAGGAAGCTCAGGGCTGCTCTGGAAAGCACAGCGTAACTCCTGGAAATGGCTCCTTAACAAATACATCCAGCATTTACGTAACATAAACAAATGGGGTAGGGGGTGCTTCTGTAACCCTTCCTCCAAGCCTCTCTGCCTTGCTTCGGGAAGGCTTCCACGGGAACCGTCCTCTTTGATGTCCCTCAGAGGTCCCTGGCCCTGGCAGAGCAGAAGTGTGAAGAGTGGAGGAGTCAGTATGAGGCTCTGAAGCAGGACTGGAGGACCCTGGGGTCTCAGCACAGAGAGCTGGAGAGGCAACTCCACGAGCTTCAATCCAAACTGCAGGTACCAGGCCCTGGGCGTGGGAGAGCAGGGGACAGAGGGAGAGGGGTGGCGGTTGCGAGGAGCTTGGCTTAGGTTGCAGGCCCACCCAGCTTCCAGTTCCCTACTCAGGCCTAGTTTGTACTGGAGTCACTGTTTTGGCTCTGAACATGGTTCTGAGTTTACAAAGGACTGCTGTATCACTCATGCAAATGAACAACACGACCCAAATGCAAAGGGCTGAGCTGGAATATTTATCAAGCTACTAACACCATACTCCAACCCACTATCCAAAACCGTTCCAGTAAGCATCTGGTCCAGAACTGCCTGCTATTTGAACAGAACCAATGTCACTTACTTATCTCTAGGTGAGTAGTAGTTAGTACTCCAAAGTGTGTTTTTAAGCAATTACAGTAGACTCTGGACAGTGATGGACAAAAGTTCCATTATTTCTAATCTGCTACCTTGGAAAAGTTAACTAACCTGCAAAGCCTCAGTTTCCACATCTCTAAAATGAGAATAATAGTACCTATATCATAGGTTGTGACGTGGGTCAAATACGGCAGCAAGAAGCATAATGAACATTCAGTACGAACATTCAGTACATAGCAGTGACTGCACTGCGCAGGCCTGGACCTGAGGATCCACCTCAAAAGCTGATCTCCAGTTTTCCTCACACAGGGGTCACAGAGCCCACTCGGAAAGAGAGGGTGTGTGGTGTTTCACAGGAGGCCCCTCCCTGGCCCTCTCAAGACGCCCACACAGGAAGCTCTGCTGTTCTCCTTCCCATCACTCCTATGGCAACTCTTAGGAAGATACTGTGGGTTTTTAAACCTTTTGTGAAAAACGGCCCCCTTCCTCCTCCAAAACAACAGTGGTAGAATGAAAAGAGAAAACCAAAACACCCGGGGGAGCTCTGGCTGGGTATGCTTCCCTGGGGTTCACACCACAATGTGAGGACAGGAACCCTGTGAGGGCCCAAAGTCTAACACAAGCGAAGAGAGTGCAAAAAGAAATTCCCTATTATTTTCAATGCCCTCCTTCCAGCTCTGAAATTCTACAATTTCCTGTGATGTTCTCCTTCCGGGGGACCTGCTCCCCACCTCCACTCAGCACTGACCCGCCATCCCTCTTCCTCCTGCAGGGAGCAGACAGCAGAGACGCACAGATGAGCCAGGCTCTGCGACTTCTGGAGAATGAGCACCAGGAACTGCAAGCCAAGATAGAATGCCTGCAAGGAGACCGGGACCTGTACAACTCTGATGCCCAGGACCTGCAAGGTACCCTTCTCTTTGCAGACCTCAGGAGATGGGAACCACAGCTCAGGGAGCTCAGCAAGGGGAGCTGTGGAGAAACGGCCTCAGCCTTCCTCTGTGTGCTCAGCCTATGGTTTTATGTCACCTTGAGGGAAAGGAAGGACTGTTTTAGCCGGCCAAGACGAAAATTAACTTTGCTGCACTAGAGGGTCTCCTTGTGTGAGCGCCCTTCTGCAGCCCACCCCTTGGGGCCAGATCACAGCTGCATCAAGGCCACAATCCTAATTTGAAAAGGGAAAGGTCAGATCAAAGTGAAGGCTGAGTGAAGGTATCCCAGCCACAGCCTGTATCAGCTGAAAGACGGTGTGAAAGTACAGCCCTTAATCTAACCAGCGCCGGCGACTGTTGACGCAGACCCCTCAGTGATCAAAAGGGATGTTGGTGCTAGTCCACTGCTGCAGAAAGCTTCCATCTGCCATGTGTCAGAGACCAGAGACAGGGCGTCCATCCTCAGGGGCTGGGTGCATTAAGCTGGGTTCTTCTATTTTTGTTTGCGTTATTTCATTTTCAGATCAATTAAGGAGGTCTGAGGAGGAGAAATTCACCCTGATGACCAGAGTACAGCAGTTGCAGAGTAAGTTTCCTTCCAAGATCCTCAAACTAGCACACAGGGATTCTTGGTGATCCTGGTGCTCCTCCTAGGGGACGACTGGGCTTGGGTCTGGCATAGCCTCCTAACTCCGTGCATTTTCAGATACACTTCTTGTGAACTGGAGTCATTTACATAGCGCTTCATAAGTTATATGTTAGCCTTTGGTCTTTCCTATTTTTTTTCCTTCCATGTCAATAATGATCACTTACGTTTCTGTAAGAATTGCAAATTTTAAAAAGCACTGGTGTCCTAGGGTTGCTTCTTATGTATTCTGACTTATTACACGCATAAATGTGTCACTTAGACCTTACTCACTAGACAGATTCAAAAATAAGCATTTACAGAGGTCTTAGTAAGTGTAGGTACCCTGGAATTTGCACTGAGAAAATAACGACAAAGCTAGTAATTCCTTCCTTTGTAAGCTGACATTTCAAGTAAGGTCTCCAGTGTGGTATAGGGCTTTACAAAAAAAAAAAAAAAAAATCTATGTCAAGTCTTACTAACTGCTATGCAGGGAATAGATGGAGGTTAAAGGGGAAATCGTTGCTATTTTACATAGGGTCATCTGGGAAAGCTTTTCCTTTCTTAGGGGGGAGGATTTTGTTTTTTCTTTCTTTTTTTTTTTTTTTGGTACCAGGGATCGAGCTCAGATCCTTGCACTT